TGGCAGTCGACCGTGGAAGTCTCTGGAGTTGATGCGGTCGACCGTGACGGTCGACCGCGATGCGGTTTTTGGGTTGGGTCTGTTTCCAGACCTGTTTCGTTTAGGATTTCTATAAATACCCAAAACTCGTTTTAGGGCTCAGTGCAAGAGGGTTTTAGCAGCCATTGAGAGGAATTTTGTGGGCTTTTATTTTTGGAGCATTTGGGAGAGATCAAGAGTAATTTGTTATGGGTTTTTGGTGAGATTTGCAACCCTAGTTGTATCCCCTTAATTTCTAATAGTGAAAACTCCCCCTTCCTTGCCCCGTGGACGTAGGCATTCGCTGAACCACGTTAAAACGGGTGTATCTTGTTTGTGGCATTGATTTGGTGTGTTTACGCTTCTCTCTCGGCTATTTGGTATATTGGATCTCGGCATCGGGGGTTTCCCCAACAAGCTCCTAATTGATACCATTACCGTTTTACAGGCTATAGAGATAATATTATTGAAGAGGGTAAAACCTTGTGTATATATGTACATACTGTTGAAGTTTTATATCTAGAAAGAAAAACTAGTTATATTACCAATATGTTATACTTTACATAGTATAAGTGTATAACCAAATATTAAAGAAACTGAAACACTGTAGAAAGTTTATGTACACTTATACTGCAGTATTTGATGCATGTCATTGAATAAAAATTTTCATATTCCATAAAGACCTCTGTTCTAGCTTTACATATTCTTTTTACATAATTGTCATTCTTTCTTCAACAATTTTTCCATGAATTTAATGATCACCATTATTTCATAACTGCCTCTTGCCTAAATATAGTCCTTTTTGACATGGTCAGTCCTTTTCAAACCACCAGCTCCGAATCAAACACAAAATAAAATTTATACTTCGAAAGTTTTTCTCACCTTAGATATCACCATACAACAACGGCAAATTCAATGACAATGCGAACCTCCACCCTCTTTGCACTCTTGCTGACATCCTATCTCATCCTTGCTGTGGGCCCCGCATCATCGGACGATAATCTCTTGAATGCGCATGAGATCCGTCACCGGTTATCGCAGGTTCTTGGGCCTCGCACCGCATTGCCTGGAAATGCTAAGTATAAGCTTTCAATACCTCATTTTCGACACAGAGATCGACCTGATGTTCTCATTCCTGAAACTAAAATCAGAGAGGCCTGATTTATCTTGCTTTTTATAGTGACAGATATGTAGCACGCATTGTCTGAGAAAATTGAGAGCAAGTAATTAGTCATGTAATGATTTATGAAATCTTTGTGTAACTACATCTTACCCGATGA